CCTGGACAGACTGGCGATCAGGGTGACGGTCTGAAGGAGCAAGTAGGTCGGGTGGCCAGCTGGGCCGTACACGTGGACAAACTACTTCAGGACCCAGTCGGCGTTGAAGTCTTTTCGGTAGGTTCATCATTTAACTATATGTGTATTATGATGTTTACATGTTATATTTGATCTTTTTTCACGATCCAGAGGTGGAAATCCACCTACGCCCTTTAATAAGAATGCAAAAATTTTTTTAGATCAATAAGTAGATATATGCAATATCGACAAACAAAAACAAACAAACAGAGAAACAAATACACAAACAAACAAATAACAAACAAATGAATACACAAAAAAACAAACAAATAAACAAATAAACCAACAAACCATCTAGCCAGTGAAGAAACTACTAAGTTGACTTCTTACCCGTTTGATTGTTTGTTTTGTTTTTGTTTTTACTTAAAATTCTCTCTTACGCACTTTGGTAGAAACGTGATCTCTCTATACATGTATTTACTCTTGAATCGACAAGTTAAGTTAGTTTTCCATCGACTAGTATTATTACCTTTTCTTTACTATCCTCATCGTCGATGTGATTTTTCTATTTAGGAATTCCTGAGGAAAGAGTTCAGCGAAGAGAACATCTTGTTTTGGAAGGCGTGTGAGAAGTACCGTCAACTGACAGGTGACTCTGAGGTAAGTTTGGATTGTCGAAAAACGAATTGTGTTCTTTAACTGAAGGTTTTTAACATGTACCGTATTTCTACCAAGATGAAGTGGAACTTTTGGACCTGCACAGGAAATAATTATCAGAGTATATGTTACAATAAGATTAAACAAATTCACCAGTCTGTGTTCGAATCCGAATATTGAAGGTCCATGAGGTTGATCAATTTCTTTTTTTTTTAAATAAGGATTTGATACGTTATTTTACCCCCCCCCCCTCCCCTAATCGACACAGTTTAATTAAGTAATTTAGAAAGCAGGCTTTAACCCTGCCTGTTGGTGTCAACTAGGCATGAGAGGGATACAATGCCCTAGAAAAAAGATTGAAATACTCCAGAAGAATTTCAACATGAGAATCGAATTCAAGTCTATAGCGTGCTACAGTGGGATGTTTAATTAATCGTTGCACCACAGACTTCGCTATCAAAGTTGTAACCTTTTTGCATCATCAAATGGTAATACTATCACCATGATATCACCTTATATGATTATCTTCTAAGGCATTGTATTCATGAGTATTGTTTGTTGTTTCTCATTATAGCGCAACGTTCAGGACGGAGTCATCTATGGCCGCTTTTTGTCCCCCACGGCAGATGATCCCGTGAATGTGGATGATGTAGCCCGCTCTCACACGCGGATGTTTCTGGACAATCCCGCAGTCGACATGTTTGATGAGGCTCAGAAGCAGGTACGTATCTTGACACTTAGTGTGGTTGTCAGCAAGATTTGAATTTGGAGCGTAAGTAGTGAAATAAATTTACTGCTCGTACTATGCCATGGTAATGTCACCATTTTCAAGTTTTCATCTCAATATCATACATATTTTCATATTAATGTTATTAAGCATAATAATCATAAGTCGGCACGATGTTAAAAGTAATATTTTTCCTGTGTTATTTTTTAGGGAAGCGGGGATGAGGGTGAAAGATCTTTTAGTTCAGTGTTAGTCTGGCTTCTGTCACTTGCTTCTCATGTGGTAGACGCTTGCAGCCTACTCCTTCTTCGTATTATTGTTCTCAAATGTCCCACAGACAAATGACAGCTATCGCGCAGACTTACCGTTTACTATAACTCAACAAATGATAGTTTTGGTAAATACTCAGATCAAGAAGTCATTTTCTGTTCACATTTCTTTTCATATCATAACCTATGAATGTGTTACTTCACAGATCCATCAACTGATGCGTCGTGACAGTTATGTGAGATTCGTCAAGTCTGATTTGTACAAGAACAAGTTAATGGAGGAAATGGAGGGTAAACCTGGACAGACTGGCGATCAGGGTGACGGTCTGAAGGAGCAAGTAGGTCGGGTGGCCAGCTGGGCCGTACACGTGGACAAACTACTTCAGGACCCAGTCGGCGTTGAAGTCTTTTCGGTGGGTTCCTCGTAGAACTTAATCATGTTTGCTTATATTTTTATCATTTTTAAAAATCTAGCGCGGCTTAGTATCCACACTCCCTCACCTTAAAAAAAGAAAAAATATAAGCAAAAATAATAAAGATAGAAAGAAAGAAAAAAAAGAAAGAAACAAATAAACAAATAAACAAATAAATAAACAAACAATCAAACAAATGGCCAAATAAACAAGCAAGCATACAAACAAGAAAACTAATGAGCAAATGAACAAACTGACAAACTAATAATCAGTAAACAAATTAAATATACTAACAAATTTGGAAACTGCTAAATTCTAAGTCTGGATGTCTTACCCAATTATTATTTATTTTACTTTAATACCCTTTTACTCACTTGGTTGCAACCTGTTCTTTCTATATTTTTCTCCTAAATATTTATGTTAAGTTGAAGTTTTCCCTCTACTCATATTATATACTTATTTACTATCATGATCTTCGATGTCATTTTTCTATTTAGGAATTCTTGAGGAAAGAGTTCAGCGAAGAGAACATCTTGTTTTGGAAGGCGTGTGAACAGTACCGTCAACTGACAAGTGACTCTGAGGTAAGTTTGGAATATTTTGATAGACGAATTGTGTTCTTTAACTGAAGGTTTTTAACATGTACGGTATTGCTACCTAGATGTAGACACTTAAAAGTACAAGTAGACTGAATGGTATCAGGGTTAGCTGATAGAATCATCTTGTCTGTAACTTGTAACATTTATTTTCAGATCCATGCACTGAAATAGTAACTAAGTTTTTTTTTGTGTGTGTAAACGTTTGAAATATACTGACACTTTTCGCGTGTTTGTTGTTGTTGTTGTTGCTGTTGTTGTGGCTGTTGCTGTTGTTGCTGTCTGCTTTTAATCAAAGAGGTGACTGAAAATGAAATCTAGAAAAATCCACGAAAACCAACTGTACTAAGCAACAACAGTTGATAATGTACGAGTAATAGTTTTTGTTGAAGTTTCATGTCTCCTGAGACAAAATACAAGTCACTTCGAAGGTGGAACTTTTGGGTATCAACAGGAAATAATTATCAGAGGAAATATCCCTATAAGTTTTAAATAAATACTTTAGTCTCTGCTCAAATCCGAATTTTGAAGGCCCATGAGGGGACTCATAAATATGTCCACTTATTTTTTTTTCTTAACTTTTGATAAGTTTTTTTACGCCTCCATCGCACCTCCAGGATGCAGGCTTTGACTCTGCATGTCTGAGATGGATACAATGCCCCAGAAGAAAGACTGAAATATTCTATACAAATTGTAACAACATGAGAATCGAATTCCAATCTATAGCGTGCTACTGCGGGACGTTTAACCACTGCACTACAGACATCTCTACCAAAGTCGTAACGTTTTGCACCAAGTAATGGTAATAATGTCACCATGAACCTTATATTTTTGTCTTACATTTATGAGTATTTATGTTTCTCATTATAGCGCAACGCTGAGGCCGGAGTCATCTATGGCCGCTTTTTGTCTCCCACGGCAGATGATCCCGTGAATGTGGATGGTGTAGCCCGCTCTCACACGCGGACGTTTCTGGACAATCCCACAGTCGACATGTTTGATGTGGCTCAGAAGCAGGTACGTATCTTGACACTTAGTGTGGTTGGCCGCGAGAGTTGATTTTGTGACATAAGTTGAAATATTTATACTTATTGCAAGTATCATGCTATGGCAATGTGAATATTTTCAAGTTGACCCTACATACAAAATTAGCGGGACAGAAATTTAAAAAAAGGGAGATGCCTTTTAAACTTGACAGTACTTTTTAAAAGTAAGATTTTACATTTTTAGTGTGTGTGTGAAAGGGGGGGGGGGTGGAACACATTTTAAATCAGTATTGGTGTAGCATCTCTAACTTTCTTTTTATATGGTTGGTAGTGGCTTTGATGAGGTCTGCTTCCCTCTTTGTATTATAGCTCTCAAATTTCCTAACACAAAATAGCAGTTGTTGTGCCGACTAACCGTTTACTGTGACTCAACAAATGCCAATTTTTGGTACATGCACAAGTAAAGGACTTGTCTTCTGTTCCTATGCGCTTTTATATCATGACAAATATATGTGCTATTTTGCAGATATATCAACTGATGCGTCGTGACAGTTATGTGAGATTCGTCAAGGCTGATTTGTACAAGAACAAGTTAATGGAGGAAATGGAGGGTAAACCTCTGCAGGGACAGATGCCAGACAAACTACCAGTAGAAAAAAGAGAAGAGAAAAGAGTGAGTATATATTTGAAGTTATCAGCCAGGGATGAATTTTTGTATCAACATTATTTATTTATCGATTTTGGTGATGGTATTATTTTCTTAGTGGTATGTAAAAACTAGTTAGTCTTGATTTAGCAGAAAGTGATTGTAGTGTTGAAGGGATAATTATAATACTGTGTTATATTTCTTTTGCTTTTTTTGTTCTTGTCTTTCTGAATTAATCTCCATTTTATGAAGTGTATAGCCCAGACCTGTCTGCAGACAGGGAACGTATCGCATACAGCTGGTCTTTTTGTTTACTCGTGTAACTGTCAGCTAGGCTCACGGGGTCTTTCGTTAAATCTGAAACTCTAAGCTGGTCTATACTATGAGCTACTTTTTTCTCTCTGTCTGAATCCTCATATAATATTGTAAGGGTTATCAAATGAGTTTTGTGGTAAGATTGCGTGATTGAGTCCTGCTGTTTGTTCGGATACCTGTTTACGAAGTTCACAAGCCTTAAAATTTGCTTTTGTCTAATTCAGAAACGCCAAGCTATTCTGTACTATGAACTGCATGTTTTAAAGAAAATCTCTCCCTCCTCACGAATTTCATAGTTTATCACATGAGTCTTTTTCTGGTGGTTATGTTGTGCATTTCACATCTACTTACTTTTTCATCCTCTGTTGCCGTTAAGCGTCGAGGGGAGATGCAGTTTTCTATGGTAGGCCAGCTCCGCAGCTCTTTCAGTTGTGATGTTATGTTTTCTTAGGGTTTCCTTGACACCCTCAATCCACATTTTGCGTGGCGTTCATCTTCCTTTATAGCCTGAGTGCTTGGTGTTGTAGGCTCTCAAGGCTGGCTGGTCAGGTGACATGCGTAACAGGTGGCCAAATCATTTTATCATCTGTCTTTCCATGTAACGCAGGCAGGACTCAGTGCCGATAGCTACTCTTACTTCTTCATTTCTCTGCATGTCTCGTCTTGCGATGTTAAGGGTTTTGCGGAGACATTTCATTTCGCATGCGGTGATTTTGTTTTCATGGGTTTTGCTTAAGGTCCAGGTCTGGCACTGATAACATAATGTTGGTATGAATATTGAGGTGATAAGCTGTCTCTTTGTGTCCATGGAGATGTTTGGATGAGATAGAAGGGGTTATGTTGTGTATTTCACATCTACTTACTTTTTCATCACCAATGTTAATATGACAATTTTATTTTTCCTCAGGTTCGCAAATATGGAGCTTCTTCGGGCATATTGACTCTTCTGAAAAGATTCAGACTAAAGGATGCGCGTAAAAGAAGCAAGAAGAATGGTGGCGTTCAGCCGTGATGGGTGTCTGACTACTTCGGTGTCATTTCCGCAGACCTTAAACGCTGGTTAGCGCTTGACCGCACCCAGCTGACAAACAAGGCGACTCCCCCTCCCCCAGCCTCTCCTCCACGTTCTCAGTACACCGGCTCTGTGGGAGTGGAAGCGTTTTCTGATTCAGATTTGTCTCTTTCCGAGCCTCAGAGTGACTACAGAGCTTTTCAGCATGTCTTTGCAGTATAAAGACTTGGCTCAGCTGTTGCAACTGCCCCAAGGGTTTTAACAGAGGTCCCAGAAGCAGGCGTTGACACACTTTCCCGAAAAGTTTCAGGAACTCCTCCCTTTTCCCCTGCCCCTTCTCCCCCCCCCCCAGCCCACTAATCTCCGTACCAGGAGATGATCCTACATTGAGGGCAATGATGTCCCTCTGTTAGAAGGTGCGTCCCATCGCCACCATTTGGACTTGTCTCCTGCATTATCGTGTGCCCTTTGGTATAGTGCGACATCATCTCTAATCTCAAATAGAATTGAGATTTTTCAGGGAGAGTTTGACCTTTCTGAGTACACTGCCTGCCCACAACGTGCTGCATCAGCAAGTCCGATAACTGGCTCTCATCGTGTTCTCACCCTGAGACACTATCGGTCACTGGGAATCTTTTGACGAAGTCTTTGACTGCTACCAGGACTTCGGAGAGGAGGTATATCCCCACTTGTTCATAGCTACAAGCCTCCTAAAACGGCCATCCTGTTCATGCCAGGAATGAAATTGCTTAGGAAGTTTTGACTTTTGAATAAGGCAGCTGCAAACGCAAAACATCAAATAAACTGGCAGCTCACCGAGAGAGAAGAATGTAAAAAGTTTTTGTGTTTTTACCAATTGCTCTTTGAGAATTTATAAAGAATATGTCGCCATTATGTTTGTATTAAAAAGCATATTATTGTTCTCACAGGAAAAACGAGACCATCGTTTCTCGGGACGTATGTGTAGCGTACGTCATAATTCCAAAACAGTGTTTGTCAACCTATGCCATTTCATTTTTTGCCACCATGACGAGGTTAACATTTTATACTGCTCTCCTATGTGTAGTTGTACATGTATATTATTATGATATCTAAGCGGGCACTTAGTAATAGTTGTCACTATCTGGATGATCGTCACCACCCACCAAACTATTACCAAATCGCCTAGGTTGGGAAGCGCTGTTCTAAGGAGACAAACCCATTCTGACTTGTGGAATTAAAATCGAAATTCTTTCACCTGTTTAGAGTACTGAATGGTATCGTAATTCTTCTGTCAGTTAACATGTCACAGAATCTTTTGTAAGAATAACATGGCACATGTTAATTTAATGTGTTGGAAAAACAAAGCTTGTTTGACTACAATCATTTCATTAATTTGTACTTCAGGCATGATGTATAAATAAAAGATGAGCTACAGCATGATGTTGTTTTCTTCTTTGAATTCATTGTTTCCGTGTATGTATATCAGTACCTCGGTCGAACGCCTTCGTTTTGTTAGTCCTTCTGTCATTCTCTTCCCTCTCCCTCTGATCTTATTTCCTTCCTCCTTCATTTAGAATCAAGCCCAAGAAAATTATGTACATTTAGCTTTTTATTGTTAGCGTATGAACGGGCAAAATAGCATAACTATTGAAAGAGCGCAATGTGGCATCTGGTGGGAAACGTTTTGTTTGATATAACCTGATCCAACACGGATACTTCGCTTTCCGCTGATTAGTATTAGTTTCAAAGGAAAAGAATAAATTATGAAGATGTTACGTCCCCATCGACATAATTTAAATAATTTAGGAGGCAGCCTTCGACCCTGTCTGATAGGATCAACTCTGGCCGAGAAGAATGCAGGGTCCGAGTAGAAAGACCGAGGTACAATGTACTCGATAGAAGTTCTCCCTACACACTAATCGAACTTAGATCTTATGTGTTCGAGGGCAAAGTGCTTATCCGATATGCCACAAACCCTGGTATCCATAGGCAGATAGTTTTGTGATGTCTTAGCAGGAACAGCTTTAAGTAGAGAGTATGTTTTTTGAGTTACCGTTTTGTGAACGGTAAACTCAGTCAGTTTTCTTATCCCCTGGATTCAGAGCTCAAAGAAACCCACAGCTGCACCAGAAAATAATTATGGGGTAAACTGAGCTTTTTTTTTTTACCTGTAGTATCGCATTTTGATTTTCAGGTGTTAGTCCAATACTACAGAATTTGCTTCAGTTCAGCATCACTGGACAATTTTATTTACCCATCTTTGTGGCGGGCTTCGGCTTGTCACTTTAATTTGAAATGGGTTCGCTAAAAATTGCCTATGTAGTGTGCCAGGGAGTGTGTGAGGGGCTGGGGGGG